AATTTTACGAAGATTCGTTTAAATGGGACGAAGTACTGGTACAAAACGCAAAACCTTCCATAACTCACTTAAAACTACTTTATACACAAGTACCAAAATACTATAATTATTACTGAAATATTTCACCTTAGATATTTTTATAGTATTAAGTAAAAACTACAAGTCTAGAACCAGAACTGGGCAATTAACTCAATGTAATCGATTAACTATGAGTACCAATTACATCATTTAGTGTCATGTAAAATAATCAATTAATAAAAAAAAATTACAATTAAACAGAGGTGAATGACACCAAAATAATGAGCTAATGTTTCCGATTATTCCAACTATCCAGTAATAAAAATTATGATTAAATTTATTGCCACAAAAATAATTAACCAAAATACTACCAATGTAATTTTCCTTCATTATTATTTTTAATTAATTCAAGTTTGTTCAACTTAACTGATTAGTGCCTTTGTTATAGCAAAGCTAATAAAGCTATTTGCCACTGTCACTAATTTTGAACTGTTGACGAGAGTGATGACAACTGACTGGCAACATCCACCATTACTAACTACCATAAGCATTATTGAAGTTTTCTGAAATCAACACGTCTGGAGACTATGGTAACCCAGTCAAAGATTCAGCCAATAACTGATCATTTCTAAGCTAGTACAACAATATGAACATCAATTAAACATTGCCATGGTAAATTTTCATGCCTTGTCTTTTACCAGACACTTTAACAATGTGTCTAAAACTTTATGGAGATTTTTCATAAAAGTTAGTATTGTCTAGGACACTTGCAGCTCTTATAACATAGACCTGTTACAGAATTAATTGTCCATTGGTGGGTCAGCAATAAGTTCACAGACTCATTGTGGGGAACAGAGTGCAGATAGCTAATGTGTGGCTTTATGCTGAACAAAAACAGAATTGATTTTTCATTGTTTAGAAGTTAGAATCCTCAGAAGAAAGGTGTTTTTTTCTTTTAATGTCGGTGTCCAAAAGAAGTGAAAATGCAAGTGGTATAATGTATAAGTTATGACTTTTTAAAAAGTTTTGAAAACAAACACCTTGTTTACCAAAGAATGCAATAATTGTTTTTTCTATACATGATTACAAATAATTATAGCTACTTAACTTTAATTTTAAAATTTGAAATGTTTAATTTTAACAATTTTTGTTCTATTAATGTGATTAATAGGAAAATAAGATATAAGCTTCAAAATTGCTGGATTATAACCTGATTAAGCTAATCAGTTACAGAATATCTTAACTTTGACTTATTTACGTTACCTTAGTACTATATTGTCAACTCTGATTAATCCAAAACACTATTATTTTAGTGGAAGTTTTTTTTTCAAGTAAAAATTACTGAAAATTTTGTTACAGTGTTATCCATTTAACTTTTAAAAAGTTAACTGTATCACACCATCATTGTAAAAATGAAACCTTACCGCAGCTAGCATGGGGAAATTAAATGTTGTTGTTACTTGTTAACATAATAATACGATACCATCTGAACATAGGTATATACTTTCCAGTTTATTCTTATTTGTTCCTTAATGCTTTTTCAAACTTTGTAAGATAAAGATATAAATATAAAAAATATCTTACAAAATATAGTGATGTTATTCTAATTTTTACCTTTTTCTATGTTATTTGACTTGAAAAGTATCCAAAAATGCTAGGTTTTTACTTTGACTAAATACTCGTTTGAATAAAAAATAAAATGATTAATCTTTCCCTTGATTGGCTAAAAAAAAACATTTGAGTAACTGTTACGTATAGATAAACATTTAAGGCTCAAACATTGGCAAAACATGTAAAGCAATATCGAATTTTCTGGAATAACAACTCTGGAAAAATGTTACAGTATTATACATCAAAAAATACATAGTGTTTCATAAAACTGTTTCATATTGGCCAACTCAATCAATGAGTTCTGATATTGAATGAAAACGATTACTGTGCATTTACTTATGGGAGACAAAAGATAGATCTGAAGTGATATTTTTACACACCCCCGATTTCAAGCTACAGTGGCCAAATTATGAAGTATGTAGGAAAAAAAACATCTGCATTTAAGCAACTTCTATAAGTTTTTATGTTTGTTGGTTTTCCAATATTTCACTGGATTTTGCCATTTAAACCAAACTTTTTAAAGTCTGAAAAAGTATACAAAGTATTTTTGCAACAGGTGACTGATAAATTAATAAATTTTTCTTTATTCGTAAATGTTAACAAGTGCAATTGTATTAAATTGTGTGTATAATACATTTTTATGTACAGTATTTAGGATTAAAAGAGTAGCTTAATTATAAATCATTATGCCTGAGTCTGGATTTCCTCTGTCTTTTCATGTTTTTTCACCACTTGGTAAAATTTTTTCAGACAAAAATTTTAAGGTAAACTTTATATGGTAAAGCCAACTATATTTCAACAATTTTAACTTAAAAGTATTTTGAAATTGATATTTCTTTAATTTGACATATATTTAATGTATGTCATGAAGAAAAATGAATATAAAGTTAATGTTCTCATTTCTGCACAGTTGTGAAAACAACCCACATCAATTTAAAAAAAAATTTCTGCACATTCTAGAAATTAACTATTTTTGCTAAGAACAATAGCAATATATTGATAATACATTTCTTGATTTTCAAACTTTTCCCTTACTTTTTGTACAAGCCTTGGATGAAACTTTGTTATGGTGTCACATCAAGTAGTTTGATCATTTATCAATGAACTACAACTTTCAAAACAGCTATAAAGAAAGTTTAAATGTGACTGTATAGAGCATGTATTATACTATCATGTAAAATTAGAGTAAATATAAAGGTTTAAGATTTTTCTATAGGTTCTGTAAATATTCCTTTCATTTGTGAACTGTGGAAGTATTTGTGTGTTAAATTATATCTGTTGGGAAAGTTACAAAAAATGTTAGAACAAGGAAAACAATTTGTAAATTTTAAAGTAGAACAAAGTTGCCTGAAATCTATGACTAATTTTAAACAGAACAAATGAATTTAAAAACTTTTCAGTTACTTAATTTCAAGTATACCAATACTTTTGAAGGTACAAAGTGAACAATCCTGAACACCCTTACCTAGAAAGTGAATGCTATGGTTATGAAAAATGGCCCCCAACCCATAAAGGCTATTGTTTTGAAGTTGGGCATATCTCCTTGTACCATTAACAAGGTAATAAACAAGGATTTAAAGATGATGAAGGCTCACAAGTAAAAGTTCACAAGCTTTTAGCCACACTTAGAAATGAATAATTATTTTCATGAGAAAGATGACAAAAGAAACTAGAATCACGGCAATTCCGTTTGACTAAACAACTGTCAAATCGTCCATTGTAGCTTCGATGGACTTTTATGCCTTTGTAAACATGGATTTGGAAGTTCACATCCACACATGATGAAGGACCCACAGAACATCTGTAAAAATGTGAGATTGACCTCACTGTCTTTTCCAGTAGCTCGTACAATAGAAATTAAAACATCTGGCAATAGTGAGTAATTAATACAGTCAGACTGAGCACTGGAGGAAATACATGGAAACACATTATGCTAGTATAATAGTGAACTGACAGGCAACAACTTATAAGCATAGTGAAGTAGTTTTATTTGGGGGGGGACACATACTACATGTTTAAACAGAACAGTGATCTGTGTGTTTACAAACAACAATTTATAAGCATAAGGAAGTGATTTTATTTTTGGGGAACATACTACTCGTTTTGACAGAATATTGGTTTGTTAATTTACTATTCATGGAGGGAAGAGTTCAAATTGCAGTGTATGATAAGGAACATCATTCTTATAAAGTGCAATTAACTCTTTCATATATAAAGAAGATCAATGGGATTGCTACCCCATTGTCATGTAAAAAAAGAACTGTGCCAAAGTAGTGATGATAGTTTACACTGGTTGGTGTCATTCAACTAGTCAGAAAGTGACATATTATTAAAAGGCCTATAAAGCTAAAGACAATCATATTATTCCCATTAATTATATTCAAGTAGAAATCAGTTTTAGTTGGACATGAATACATTATGTGAAAAACTACAATAATACTCTATGTTTTAATAGAAGCTCTATGTAAAACTCTTAAAAGGGTATGTGAAACTGGCTTTATTAACATTAGTAAATACTAAAAACCAAATCTCTCCAACTACTATGTTAAATATCTCAAGGTATATTCGTTATGAGATAGATGGAGGACAAGTATACATCTGCCAATAGTCTTGCTTTAAATACAGTGTGTGAACATTACCTAGGGAATAGTAAAATAAATATTAGCATAAAGTTGTCTCAATGGATGTGTAGCTGCTCAAAAACTGCTGCTAAGAAGAGATAACTATGAAATGTACATGGAACTACAAACAATCAGATAAGCAAATCTGGAGATACATGCTCTTTATAAATGAATCCAGCTTTGACTATGATGCTGTTTTCATCTCCACCATGTGACTTAACTGTCATTACTTGTTGCAGAACAATTCAATGTAAAAGATCTATACACCTGGAAAAAAGTTAAGCACCCCCAAATATTTTTCAGGATTGCTTATTGAAAATAAGG